GCGGGCCCCGCCGGTCAGATACACTGTCAATACGCGTTTATACGCGATTTAGACCTTTTTGTAACGTATAGCCCCAGACTTGGTGCTGACATGTAAAAATTACCAAACTTGGTACCAATCTGCTTTCAATGCCCCAATTGTGGTACTTCTGTGCAATTTACTCCCTCTCTGGTCGCTCGTCACGTCGCCGTACAGTGCTGTGCCGTGTCTGTTGGGACCATCTCATGCCGCGCCGCCCGACCGGCGTAGACACACACGTCACAGAAATGCACATGCTCGCACAAAGTCTAAATAAGGATAAAATTCCCCGGAATTGCTAGTTGAGCTCGATTATTGAAGAAAAATATAAAACCAGACCTTTTAGGTTCTAGGAAATTCTGAAGAAAATACGCACGCGTAGTAATGGATTTGCCCCTCAACCCTTGTGGATCCGTAAATCAGAGAGCATGCCGCAAAGAACGCAAAGAATTAAAATACCCCACTCCCTCATGGTGAACATCTCCTTGTGATCGAGATGAGTCCTAGCTGCCGGGAGGGGTGGGAGGGGTCGAATCGAAGTTCCCTTAGGTAGCCGCCGGGAGGGGTGGAAGGGGTCGAACCGGAGTTCCCTTAGGTAGCCGCGGGTAGTGGTGGAAGGGGTCGAACCGGAGTTCCCTTAGGTAGCCGCCGATAGTGGTGGAAGGGGTCGAATCGGAGTTCCCTTAGGTAGCCGCCGGGAGGGGTGGAAGGGGTCGAACCAGAGCTCCCTTAGGTAGCCACCGAAGTACAATTCTCGTTAAATTTATGTGCTTAGTAGACATGAAGCGAACAAAGGTACGCTCGCTTGTTGTCTTGTTCTCTGCCGTGTACTGGGATCGCTCGCCAGCTAGGCTTCTAGAATAACATTGTACGAGAACATAGGCTCGTGGAGTCAAGAGACACATGACCAAAGGCATCATGCGTGTGCTGCAGTACCATGGCGCTCGGTGGGATGCGTTGGAGTCCGCAGCGGTCGCGCTAGATGTCAACGCGGGCTGCAGCAAGCCTGTCGTCGCCTCCAGCGGAGCATCCTGGAGGCCACTACTCCGATCCCTGCGGCGAGCTGTGGTGGAGTGGCCTTCATGGCGAGAACGGTCCGGTTTGAAAGAAGAAGGCATGCGAAAAAACGACGCTGATGACAAGGAAGTAGAAGCCATCGAGGTCATGCGACATCCTCTCATGGCGATGTGCGGTGGGGAGTTTGGTGGTGGCCATGGGCAATGGGATGTCCCTAACCTGAATCTTCTACCCGACACGGGTGGTCATGGTGGTGTGCACCGGGGCTGCAGCAACCATGGCATCGGTGACTATCGTCACATTAACCTTTCTTATTCTATCAGTGGAGGCTAGGGATTGGGACAGAGTGCAGCGATGCAAGGAATGTGGCGGCGTGAGCAGGTTCCATGTGGACGTTGGGGCTACGATGTTCGCCGACTATGAGTGGCTAGTCGGGTGGTGTGCGATACCATGGTGGTGGCTCACATGACGGACGCACGGGCAGCGGCCCTGGGGTCATGGTGGATGTTATAGGGTCAAACCCGCACCGTGTCATGGATGACACCCCCCCAACGAGCGAAGTGGTGGTCTATGATGGCTAGATGTCCCACTCATCTGTAGAGCCTTTCGGGCTTGGCATGGAGTACAAGAAGGCATGAGTTTTGGAAGAGTCGTCTTCAAGATGACGATTGAAATAATTCCGAGGTGAAACTCTTGTTTTGGCCTTGATTGGTTGGACTCGGCATTGGCGAACTTGCGTTGTTACCTTATTGAAGCCATTATCTTCTTGCTTATGTGTCGGCCTTCGATGGTTGGTTTCGGCGACCATGATGAAAATCCTTGTCTCAGTCGTCTTCGGCCAGACGTGATGATGATGATGCAAGATTGTTTATTCCTTCTTGAAGTCATTGCAGCGGAAGAATTCGACTTAATTGTCTATTTTTATTCATATCTTATAATGGTTTAGCCATGGTTGCTCTTGTTATTTACTCCAATTAATATTAATAAGATATGTTGGGGGTTTAACCTCTTTTTTTTAAATGCTCACATTTTAACAATGCAATTTGGTCTGATGTTAAACAGGTTTGGTGGTTGATCCTAGTTATTCTAAAGAAATGACAATCTTGCTCAAGGAGGATCATCTGGAAAAAAACCAAAAGGTCTTTCCCAGATGGTCTTCCTCACCAATTGTTGATGGGTGACAAAGTTTGAACTAAGCACTCAAGGTGCTCTTAAACAAGCTCTCCTGTCTCACATGTCCCTATTTAGTGCAAGATCATGTTCTTGCATACTCCAAGCACCGGTGATCCCTATGCTCCACTCCCCAAGCAAACCTTGGGATCCAAAAGCGTCGGTCGTCGTTTCCATCACCCCACTTGAGTTGGAAAATTCGTTGAGTTAATATTTTCTGTTGAAGAAAAAATGGCATCTACGCCATCTTCAACAGAAGTCCCAAAGGAGCTTTGGTTGCTTGGATGTTGTCCAATGATAGCTATGAAGAAAGACAATTTCCGTCTTGTGCTCAATGCTAATTATTTGAGATGTATAAGATGATCACCTAGTATTGATGTGTGTTTATATTGCCTGTTTTTTCCATTCAAATTGCTAGACTTGTAATAGCTACCAAACCTGGTGGTTTCACTTTTAATGGAACCAGGGGGACTTTGCCCCATTGTGAAGTCGTGATAATAAAAAGACTTGACCGCTAATGTAAATTAACTTAACTATTTTTCTACGAAATATCAAACAAAAATAGAGATAATTAATGTTCGCTAACCATCTTTAGAGAGTCATTATTGTCAACTCGACTTTGGAATGGTTATTTTTAAGTCAATTCATGGTAGCCATGAGGTCATTGTTTTCTTATCCATTTGCACTTGCACAAAACGTAAACTCTAGTTGATCAGTTCCCAAAAGGCGTCTCAATGGTCATTCATAAATATTATATCTCAATCATCTTGGAATAACAAAACAAAATTATGAGTGTGGTATCCATGGTTATGAACAAGTCCTCCCGAGTTTGGGGTGAAACGGGGTCTCTGCTGAGCTCCAGAATTATACTTCCCTTGTTCATACTTCCTCTTGCGGCTGTCAATCTGCTGCTGCTTCCCTTCAAGCATGAGAGCTCTATCCACCAACTCCTGATAGTTATTAAAATTGGCCACCATCAACTGCATGCTCAACTCATCATTCAGTCCTTCCAAAAACTTCTCCTTCTTGGTTGCGTCTGTAGTGACGTCATCTGGAGCATAACGTGCTAGCTTACTAAATCCATCCACATACTGGCCAACAGTGTGCCCTCCTTGGCGTAAGTTGCGAAACTCACGCTTCTTCATGGCCATAGCTCCTGCTGAAACATGGGCAGTGCAAAAAGCCTGCTGGAACTGGTCCCCATGTAACAGTGGCTATATGATATGTGACAGTGTAATTCT